CTTTCAAATAAATTTGTCGGTACGATACGCGCACCACCTACTGTTAACAGTAAGTTAATTGTACTATGACTATAACCTTCGCATAAGTGCAAGTTAGTTAACAAAGTTTTAGCGCAATATGATGAACGGTATGGCAAAGCATAAAATACGAAAAAACACATTAGTTTTTAAATATTACATTATACAATATTTTATTATGTACAATATTAAAAACTATAATAAAAAAAACCACTAAAACTAGTAACTTAATTATCACACAGTCCTACTCCCCGCGGTATCGTGCCAAGAACGCTGGCTGCGTTTCCCCGCTGAGTGGCCATACTTAGTCTTTGAGCGAGAAAAGAACCAGCCACCAGTAATAATGACCAGCCGCGGATGGAGTTCCTTTAGGAACTTGACCGCACGTGGACCCCACGGACCGATAGTCTCTACAGCAAATGGCACAAATATGTACTCATCTCTCAGAGACTCATATTTGCGCCACTTACTCAGTTCAGCTACCTCTGATGCCACCCCGGTTCTAAATGAGGTACCCAAGAGATGAGAGACCGCCAGAGTGTGTACACAAGTAACATCCCACACTAGGGCTTTACCTCTCTCTCAAGGGACCAATGTCATACCGTCGGGTCTCCTGCCATCGGGCTCGATTCTTGGCCCATTCCTCTTTTTAATCTATATTAATGACTTACCTTATCTTGTAGGGGACAATCACGATATAGTATTATTTGCTGACGATACCTCTTTAATTTTCAAACTGAAACGGCAGTTAATTAATTATGACGATGTAAATAATGCTCTATCGAAACTAGTACATTGGTTTAACGCCAACAATATGCTCTTAAACGGCAATAAGACAAAGTGTATTAAATTTACAATACCTAATGTAAAACATTCGAATACCAATGTGCTGTTAAATGGGGAGGAGTTGAGTCTTGTGGATACCACTGTTTTTCTCGGTATTACTATTGACGCGAAACTTCAATGGGGCCCCCATATATCTAAATTAGCAAGCAGACTTAGTTCTGCAGCATATGCTGTAAGAAAGATTAGAAGTCTCACAGATGTTGAGACAGCTAGGTTAGTGTATTTTAGTTACTTTCATAGCGTAATGGCTTATGGATTTTTGCTATGGGGTAATGCGACTGATATTGAAGCTATATTTGTTTTGCAAAAGAGAGCCGTACGGGCGATTTATAATCTAAATTGTAAAGAGTCCCTCAGAGAAAAATTTAAAGAAATAAACATATTAACTTTGGCATTGCAATATATTTATGAAAATGTAATGTATGTACATAAAAACATAAATAGCTTTAATAAGAATAAGGATGTTCATACCTTAAACACTAGGAACAAACATAAGCTTGTAATGCCACTTACTAGACTCCACAGAATTAGTAATTCATTTATGGGGCAATGTATACGCTTTTACAACAAAATCCCAGAACATGTTCAAAGTTTGTCAATAAACAAGTTTAAAAGTTTTATTAAAGAAAAACTGTACGAAAAGGGTTATTATAATATCAAGGAATACATGAATGAAAATAACCCCTGGGAATAAGGTGATCGCCACCATGCTGGTTCTATGAAAATTCATTTAAAATTGTATAAACAAAATTATTGTTAAGTGAAAATATGTTTTAAAAAAAAGTCCCGCTGGGTTTCTTGCTGGTTCTTCCCAGGACAGAGTTATTTTCCGAACCAGTGGTAAATAAAATAATGACTTTCAATAAGTATTATGTAATAATCCATATTGAATAAAATCATTCTATTCATTCTATTCTATTCTATTCTATTCATTGTCTAATAAATATTTTACGGGGCTTTAAATCCGACGGAACATTTATAGAGACAAGAGCCCTTCGGATGGCATCGTTCAAAGAACCGTGCCGTAAAAACCTACCAGCATTTTTCTGACATGAAAGTCCGTGGAGCCCAAACTTGTCGACGCTGCTACCACAGGGGCACTGATGGGGTTGACAAATCGCCGCTCCTAGTCGGATTCCTACGGCGATGCGCAAACTTTCCCCATCAAGTAACGTGCCGAGATTACTTGATGGTAAAGCGTGTAACCAGTGACTAAATTCTTTAGTCGAGACAGCTAAAAGGCGTGCCTCATCTTGGTCACTATGGAAATTATGAAACAAATCTTTCTGCACGCCCTGTACCAACGGAATATCCCACTGTTTTGTCAATTAACTTCCAGTGGAACATTTTCGTCGGGATAGAGCGTTTGCCATGTCTGCCCTGCCTCCGTAGCAAAGCACAGGTCTACTTTATTATTTAAAATTATGTATGTTACATAAATCACTGGCACTATGCACGGTAGCAAGGAATTAATATTATATTAAATTTAATTATTAAATATCAGAATGTAAAGCAGTAACGGCAAAGATGATCACTTCTTTCACTGCGATGATCAACCCGCCTGCCAAATGTGACGATCAAGGTAAATTCTCCGTACAATGGAGAGGCTAATAACGGCTTCGTGGCGCAGCCATGTAAAGCCGTGGTAGCTCAGCACTCAGGGCTAAGCGCTCGCTGTGTATTTAACAGTACGCGAGAAACCAGGGTTCGATCGCCGCCGGCACCAATGAAATTGTTAATTGCAATTTCAAGCGCTGATTTACCACGTGCTCGGCGGTCCGTCAACAGGCATTGGGGCAGCGCGGCGGACACTTCCTTGCCCTAAAACCTTCAGATGTGAAAGGAGGTCTGTACCCTGCAGTGGGATGTATACATACTGTATACTTTATGGCTTAGCAATGAGATGCAGCGCTAAGTGTTGCGATTTCGAATGTCGTACGGAACAAGTACCTATTTGTATGGCCTACAAATAATTGTTCCGTGTCTGGTTTGTTCTTGTGAAATTTATGTTTGTAAACTGCCCCCACGATACAGGAGAAAATTCTAGTGTGGGATAGTATTTTTAAGAGACAAAAAAGTAGATATACCAAACTTACTTAATAATTCACTTCAACCGCTTTAAGATAATTTTAAACACATATATTTCATCATTATCATTTTCCGTTTGTAACTGTTGAACTACCTTAAAAAATTGTGTGTATATAATGTTCTTCAGTACGAATAAAAATATTATTAAAGGAAATAGAATAAGTTTGACTTAAGATGTGTTGGCTAATCTTTATATATAAAAATTACGTGTCACACTGTTTTTTCGCGATGAACTCCTAAACTACTGAACTGATATCAATGAAATTTTGCACACTATGTGCAGTTTGGTCTAACTTGAGAGATAGTATAGTTTTTATCCCTATAAGTGACACTCAATATTTTTTATTACGAATTTAAGAAGTTTTATAGGACACAGGGTCATCGGAGAGGGCAGAACAACGTCTGCCTGATCAGCTAGTATTATATGTATATTTTCCAGTAAAACAAACTATTTAGAAACGTCACCAAGCCTTTAATCTCAGAACAATAATTTTAAACAGGAAAGAAAAGACATTTTTGTTTGTTTATCAGCATCTCACTAATATTTTTAGGATTAAAATTCTTACGATAAATGAAAAAAGAAAAAATATTTACGAAACAAAAATTTGAAAATGTTCCATCTAAGTGGCAGAGAACACTATATATTATAGTTACAGCACGAATGGGTCGGCTCGACCGGGGAAGGACCACGCTCTCACAGAATACCAGCGTGAAATAGCGGCTTAACACTGCTGTGTTTCGTATGGTGAGTGTAGAGAACCGGTGACCCTTTTTACTGGAAAAGTGGCATTCCATCTTAGTCCTCACCGCTGACAACGCATGTGTATTTTTATTCTTAATCGATGACAGATGTAAATATCTATGAGCCACAGCATCCACTTACCGTCAATACTTACCAAAATAAAACATTTCTAAGTTTCATTTTATCTCCTTATTGTTTTGTAATATTGTATTATTTCATTTATATTCTCTTAGCATAAGTGAAATTACCATTGCAAGTGAATCTGTATTATAATTAAGTATCTTGTATCATCAAATACCTAATATATCAGCGTCAGAAGTTTTAAAATCGCACTATCTCTCTAAATTTTGTGATCGTATATGCTGCTAATATAATTTTTAATACATATATAAATAAATATTAAATAAACTAGTAAGTCGTCGTTACAAAATAAAAAAAATTGTCCTATTAAAGACATAATTATTAATTTTATGTAAGATATCTCCTTGAGTCTAACTTCATACTTATTGCTCAACTAATACAATATATTCCTTTTATTGAGTAAATCCTTAATGCTATTTGTATTTCGCTGTATTCAAAATAATTCCATAGTTTTATCATTTAAAAATAAATAACTTAAATGAAATACATTTGTAAATCCGTGCATTCAATACGCGGTTAGTGTAGAGGCGCTCTGTGTAAAGTTGTAGAGTCGGCATGACAGTTTTTTTAAAACTATATAACAATTTTTTTGATTTTATTTGAATTAAAACATTTATCATCTTTCTATTATTATATTTATATATATTGTAACACTGAAATGTATTACAAGTAAAATGGCAACCGTTCTTTTACATGTACAATTGTTTTAATATATTAATCGCAATATTCACAATGTTTTCTGCTTATTTGTGTACGTCAGTACTCGTAAGTAGGTATTTCCTCTCGGAGTTTACAGATCTGACCAAAGTTTCACGCTTACCTACAACTAAACTGACGTGGTATTGGCGCATGCGCGGCCCTACGACACACCTGTTCCAACAAACATACTTTGAAACAGACCTTGCTCATCCAATACGTTACTTCAGTTCATACACACATCATACAAACACACGCGTTGTTTCCGTGACTTGTGAAAAACGTTGGTAGAGAAGAAAAAACGCGCGCTCGCGTAGAGGCGCGCGGTCGAGTGGCGGGTGAGTGAGGTGAGTGCGGGGAGCGCGGGGCGCGGTGGGAGGGGTGCACAGGCGCGCGGAGGAGGGACCCGATTGGCGGGAGGGTGGGGGCCGTCCGCCACGCCCCGGCGGGAACGAGGGAACTCACCGCCAGTGTCCGCCAGACTGCCGAGCGCGCCGGGCCTCCCGCTCCCCGCGCCTCGCTCGGCTTCGACGCGTTCCGTAATCCAAACCCCCCCGAACTCGACCGTCGCGAGTGCACTATGACACTAGTGAGCTAGCGGGCCGCTGTGACGGTGTCTATATATGTGTATGTGTTCACGTGCTAGTGTGGTGTGTTAGCTTGGGCCCGTGAAAAACGTTCGTGGTGGCCAGTGGAGCCTTGCACCCGGGCTCGGGGCGAGCTTTCATGGCTCAGCCTAGGGTATGTACCAATCAATATCATAACGTGTGTGACCATGTCAGGTGGCAGGCCGAGCCTCAGATAGACCAGAATGTTAGCGATAATTCACAGATAAACTAACGAAATGATTACGGCGTATAGGAAGCTAGTCGTATGCGCGGGAAAATATGCGTTTAAATAAAACAGCAAGAGTGAATAGGCTTTTGTTAAGTCCGTGCACTTCACCATCTTCATCTGCATCTCCACTTACCATCAGGTGGGACAGTAGTCAAGCGCTGGTTTAGAATAACTTAAAAAATCCGCTATGAATTAGAAGTTCAGACGTAAATATAACAGGCACAACCAAGATCATATTAAAACCGTCCCGGTATGCAAGTTTTGTTTTGTGAAGTTAGAAAATGTAATGTAGTTTTAGATGCTCCGAACAATCTTTCGCACATAACCGGCTACAATTCAAACAAAATTATGCCTTACATATCTATAATAGTGATAAACTTGTAATAAATCTATAAAGTGATAAGCCATTTAAATATACAATAGAACGGGCATAGATTATAACACAATGACCAAAAATATAATTTAGATTCTATCGACAGTTCATTGATCGCCTATTGACCCTTCTATGCTTATATCTAAGTTATTTATATATACCTATATATAGTTTTTTTTCATTTTCGCACATACGAAAACGAATGGCATTATAAGTGAATAGGAACTCCAAGCATGTGAATTTATTCGGACACCTGATAGAATTGGTAGTTTGTTAAAATGTTCGCGACAATAAATGAGATAAAATGGCATTGCAGCGGGGCGCCTATTGTCGATGGTTGCTCTTATGGGGCCCGGGACTGGGACAGTAAAATCCTTGCAGGGTTACAAGCGGCTTTGAACGCACGGTTGGGCACAAAAGGGCCTATCTCGGAAACCAACAATAAAATTCAATTGACAATGAAAAGAAAAACTTTTTTGGTGCGTACCACAAAGATGAATTCCCTAACGGAACACGCGGAGACAACTTTCTAAAAGATTTAGGGTTGTTTTGTTTTTGGGTATGAGGGGAAAAAACTAATCGCTGTTTTTGCAACTTGGGTCTTTTATTTGAGACAAGGGTACCACCTGGAAATGATAATACTCTTAAAAAATTATTTAGTTCAGTAATCACGAGAGACATGTTACAATATAAATTATAGTTAAAGTAAAATCCGTTTAACAATCAAATACTATTTTAGGTACTATTAAAATATATAAGTAACAAATTCATAACATACATTTGATCGAAATGTACAAAATGATAACGCATCTACTTGGAAAGGAAAAAACTCACAGCATTAATGTTCTTAGCAGTTTTTACACTAATGCCTGTTTTTATTACCTAGTGCTGAATAATTACTTTGTCACTGGTAGTCAAAATTACTGCAACATCATTAACAAGAGTAAGAGATTAAATAACGTGAAAAGCTGCACTAAGCTGGTAGGTAATAACAAAGTTGTTTGCTAAGCATAATTAAAAGATACTGGAGCAGTTTATTAAAAACAACGCGCTTGAGATAGTAAATCAAATATAACTACTCTACATACACAATAGATTGTAATACAATGATTTACAAGTGATGCTACCGTCGGTGAATGATACCTAATCAAGCACAAATTATTCGATAGCCATTTAGTTGACAATATTTGTGTAGTCAGTTGTAACAATATAAAAATAAATAAAAATACAGATAACGTAAGCATTATATTTTTACAGATAAAACAGAAAAAATGCCGCCAAAATAGAAATGTCACTGTAGATTCGCATGAACATAAAAGTCAAAACGCCAATCTCTTTTGATACCTAATACATTTATGCCATGGTCAGTCAGTACGTTATGGTTGTATTTGTATGACCTAGGCGCCTAGTTACTTATTTTATCCTTTCATAACGAACGACGTAAAATCTCGATATGTATATATTTAATGTGTCGTTTATAATATTAACTTGCGCGTTAGTTGTCGTTTAAATAAATTATTTTGCTTATTTGCCTTTGATCTAAGATATTAACCATAGATAAAAAAAATATTTGCTAAAATGTTAAATAAGTAATTTATTAAAATTAAATTAATATATGATGTGAAGTATATCACGTCATAAACGTTAACCAAGTGCTATCTTTATGGCAATAAAAAGAAATGAAGCACCGGACGCGTATTCATTTCCTTTTAAAGATGACTTAAAATTTAGTAATTTAGATTTGCGATTAAAACGTCTTGAAAAAAATATTAAAATTAGTTACGCGGTAAAGAGGTAAGCAAGATAAATATTTACATAAATTTTCATTTAAATCGCTGACGGGCTGGCGAGGCTGTATTGTGTGAAATAAACAGCATCGTTAATTAGTAGGACAGCGTTAGACGCAAATTCTACTGTACTTGGCGCTTCGAATCTTTTCGAATAACAAACAATGATTAATTTTTAAAATCTTAAGATCTGTGTTTAGAAGATAACCAAAAATTTTATATTTTATTATCTGTATTAAGAGCGATGTTCGAACACAGCGCTTATACAAATTCACCGTTGCTACGTTAATGGAATTGAATTAATTATTCCGTTTTTTAAACGAAATTTGTTAAATATGTAACTTATAGTGTATTATAATATGCAGAAACAAAAAAGATATATAACCACATAAAAATGTAGTTTTTCTATATTTAATAAGTGTGTAAACTTTATAACTTATTGCGTTCGTAAAATATTTTGTAATACGAATAATTTACACCATTTTTAGCTTATAACGCGTAACGTTTGTATGTTTTATTAACGAATATAAGCCGTATTTTTACAACGTCACTTGACTTTACGACGCAATAGTGCGCCTAAATTACACGCCGAATCGCCACACAAAATGATATTGACAGAAGACTTGTCCGAGCATTGTGACCTGAGAGGATATCGTAAATTTTATGATACATCGATAAGGATATCAATTTGTAGGGTAATAGTGCGGTATAATCGGCGATAATAACGGTTTCGACGGTGTTACCAAATGAGCACGATAACGCGCATTCTGTCGTCCCTATGTGACGTTGCATGTAATAAAACAGTACTAAGATGTTTTCTTTTAATATATATAAGAGAAGGCAAACGAGCATGCGGCTCACCTGATGGTACCTGACTACCGCCGACCATGAACTACTCCAATACCAGGGGAATTTCAGGTGCATTGCCGGCCTCTTAAAAAGAGTAGGCATTTTTCTTAAAGATCCCTAAATCATATCGCAAAAAGCGCTCATGGTAGTAGATTCCACGAGCAAGTGGTGCGAGAAAGGAAACTTCTAGATAATCGCAGTGGTAGAGTATTATCAAATCACGTTAAACTAAATCTAAAAATATCATAAAATATAGCGGCTGGAATTTGTGCCTACAACTTATGCCAGTGACACATGAAGTAAATAAACCTATAAATTGCCTCAGCTATACTCCGTATTCAAAACAAAAATTCTTCAGGTATGAGGTTTTTGTTTATTTTATTAAAAATCTTTATTCCTTATTTATTATTTTACCTTTATTCCGCCCAATTTTAAGGAACGACCCAGTTCAGATTATTTCAGTTCAGAGTATATATTTATTAGGTGCATAGTATATGAGATTGTAAAGATAATTAATGTTTTTGCCAGACAGCCTCTCCCTCTTTGTTGCAGTGACAGCTCTAGATCTCCACTGTTTTTAAAATATCTAGTCGAATAGACTTATATCGATAAAAGAAACCTTTAATATGAGAACCACCTCTAACAAATGCAATTTTATTATATCTACTCCAAAAAGTTATAAAGTTAGGCAAAAAGCTCATTGGTAATAAGAACTTGGGACTTAAAAATCAATTTAAATTATTGTTAATTGCATTAGAAAATTTTTTAATCCATTAAAACCGTTATATACTTAATTATTTACAATATGAAATTACCAGTCACTAATAAATAAAATCCATAACTATATACTACTATAAGTCGATTTTATGGATTTTATAGGATTTGTGTGACTCTAGGAGACTCTACCTATGATGTAGAGTCAGCTTTAGGATCGCGTACGGTTGCATGTTTTTTGTTTTATTAAGTAATATAAGTTTATTAGATGGAATGGTTTGAGAACCTGTTTGTGGCGTCGAAATATTCTCTATAAATCCACAGAGATGAGAAGCCGAAGTAGACTTCAATGTTCGAAGTTGGTCTTAAGTGGTCATAAGGGTAAATACGCACAATAACTATAATATATCTATATAAACGTATTTTATTTTGATATGCGAAAGCACGATATGAAACAATGAGAATCCTTTCGAATCCGAAAACATATTTTCATTTGGTCCGTTCCGTCGGTACAATTTATATTTGGTATTCGGTACATCGTCTCGGTACGACCGTCGTCGTCGGTCGTCGGTATTTGGTATTAGGGTGTTGTTTAGGAAGGAATAAAAATATCAATTTTGCTGTAATGTTTTTGTAGTTTTATTAACACTTAACATTTATTTAAAGTAAATATGGTGGCGATAACTGTTTCCGTTATTAGCACGCATTTAAAAGTCATTTTATTAAAATCGTTTTTTATAAAAGTTTAACTAAAGATTCTATTTAGATAAAATACAAGATAATAGATTGAAGCTATGCATAATTTGTGTAAAATCACCATTAAAAAAAGGAAATGAAGTTCCTATTTATCTCGATTCTTAAAGAATATGAACAAATCAAATTATGTATATAATAGTACGTTAAAGATAAGAAGTTGTTTTAATGTGTAATCTCTATTTCGTATATAATTAAATTCTTATCGTTCGCCAATGCTTGTAAGTGCAGACAACCGGTAATTATTTATAATAATGGTTTTATTTAATAATAATACATTTAATATATTGCTGAATTTTTAAGTTACGCTACTTAACTTTAAGTAGATATAATGTTTTGAGTGCTATTACTTAAAAAGATTTAAAATATTCGTTCAAGTAAAAAATATCTGTCTACAAATAATAACTAACTACATAAGCGTAGCAAAT